GACGCATTGCTCTTTTTATATGCCATTTATGTCTCGAAAAACTATATATTCCCTCGGTCTCATTTTATGTGACACTTTTTGAATTTTGAGATTCAAACAAGTCTGTCTTTATTACCTTTTTATGCCTTTTTCCTTAAAGATTGTCGTTACGACTTACGTTCCGGCGACGCATTGCTCCTTTTATATGCCATTTACGTCCCGAAAAACTATATACTCCCTCAGTCTCATATTATGTGACACTTTTTGAATTTCAAGATTCAAACAAGTCTATCTTTATTAGCTTTTTATGCCATTTTTCCTTAAAGAATGTCGTTACGACTTACGTCCCGAAAAACAATATACTCCCTTTGTCCCATTTTATGTGAAACTTTTCAGATTTCGAGATTCAAACAAGTCTATCTTTGACCGTAATTTTTCATAGATCTTTTAAATATCAAACAATATACTACTCCCTCCAACCTATTTTATGTGGCGCTTTTTAAATTTGGAGATTTAAACAAGTCCATCTTCGATAATAAGTTTTCATTAACTTTATAAACTTTTTGAATTATTTATTATTGTGACTTATAATAATTTTTTACGTAATTTATAAATATATAAATTTCATTTTAAAAAATTAAAAAATTCATATTTAATTTTCAATCAAACATATTTGACTGTTGAAAAATTACTTTTAGTGATTCTTTTCCTACTTAATTCTACTTAATTTTTTTTTTGTGTGTGTAGGAGACATTAATTGCAACAAGATCAATGATTAGTCTCCTTGGAATATATGATTAGCAAATTATACAACTAATGCAGTACACTTTCATGTTTATGGCAAATATTCACCTCATAATCTATATGCTACTCATACCCTACAATTTAACGGTAAATATATTATTACTATTATTATTACTGTTGTTGGTGTGCAATGAACCTCTTGTGCCTTTTTCACGGGTGGTTGAACGTGATAGGGAGCCTAAAACAAAATTTTAATTTGAGGCCTAAAATATAAAAAAACTTTATATATATATTTATTTAAAATTTATTTTTCTTACTTAGGTAAAAATTATTAGTACATAAATATTATTTTTTCAGTTATTAGTTTTAGGTAAAATTTTATCAACTCAACATTGAAAAAAATCCTTTTAGTGAGACAATTATTATATGAATTGTTAACATAATTGTATAAGTAATAAATTAGCAAATATTAAATAAAGATAAAAGTCAGAACCATATAATTTGATGCAAGAAACTGATGACTTTTTATACCCCATTTTAATATGCTTGTAGCAATGCTTGAAACTAAAATTTAAGAAGAATTTGTAATTCATTTTGTTCAACACTTTTCACTGTTAATCTTTATTTTTAATAAAGTACAAAAGATGTTAAAGTGAATAAAATGATATATCTTTTAAAAAATTATACTTTTTATTCTAAATAATTATTTTTTATATAAAAATTTTAACACATAATTTATTTATCGCACTTTCTGGCCCCAAACATAGATAGAAGTTTTGCAATGGAAAGGTTGTGAATAGTTCTATATATAAATAGTCCTTAACTTCTGAGACATAACATGAGTCTTTTATGTTATACAATAATTATCCTTAAGCATTTAATAATGCAACTACAATCCAAGGACCCCTTAGCCTACTTATGATGATTATGAACAAGGATAAAGACACCTTAACCACCATTGAACATTTGAAAAAAAATAAATATATAAATAGCAATGAATACAAAATTCTCATACATTAAAAACATAGTGTACTACTCTTTTAACTCCTCCGATCGTTATATTTTGCTTATTGAAAGTTAATTTACATTTAATTTATTTAATATTTTTAAAATTTAAATACCTAAAATTTATACTATGATACTATAAATTACAATTCTTCTTATATTTATATGATTTAATATTATATCTAAAATAAAAAATTTATAGAGTTTGTCTATTGAAAAAATGAAATATGACTAGTATATATTATATTGAAAAGCAAGGGAGCACAAGTGAAGACTAAATTAAAAGATTGTACTTTTTGTTACCAAACTTTGTTGTCTTATTTATAGTTTTGGCTTCAATCATATTGTACTTTTGTCACCATCTTTATGAACCCTCCAAATTCATTTTATTAAGGGGACCTCCACCTTATTATAAAGAACAAGTCAAGAGTTCAATATGTGGAGGAAGTGAATTGTAAAAAAAGAAAAGATATATAAAAAATCAATAATAATATTAATGGATTCAAATTATAGTAAAAACAATAATATATTATTAGTGATATAATTTAATATTTGAGATTTTTTTTCTCTTATGATGGTGATTGACTTATATACCCATATATTACATTTAAGACCGAACTGATAAACAGATTCGTAAACTTGTTGTATTTTCCCCTCGGGTACCTCAACTATGTCATTTTCCTATTGAATTATTGAACCATACATAATTTATTCCTTTTAAACACTGTTGGTTGATTTTGATAAGTTTTTCTATTGTAAATGTCTTCAATTATGTTCGTATTGTAATGATTTTGATTGAAGGAATGAAGACAAACTGTACGAATCTCATTTCTTTTCTAATATGTTCAAACGGCTTGAAGTAAAACACAATTATTCTGAAATATTTTCACTAACAATTGGACTAATGAGTTTTGGACAACATGCGTATCCTCTATCAGTACCCCTCACAAAAATCTGATTCCACATCAACCAACGGTGTTTGTTTAAAAGGAACAAATTATGGATGGTTCAATGATTCAATAGAAAAATAGCATAATTAAGGTACTTGAGGGAAAAAAACCAACAAGTTTAGTGATCTGTTTATGTATTTGGCCTACATTTAACATTTAGATATTATTTGATTGTTAAGACAAAAAAAAAAGTTAGAATTTTTTGTTTTACGCTCCTATAAGTTAAAAGAAAATCATTTAATTTTTAAGATCTCAAAATATATATTCAAGTTCATAAGAGCTAGACTATTTTTAATCGAGAAACCATTTACCGTATATATATTTTCGCGATCTATTCCATATATTTACTTTAGATATTCACTTAATATGCATATGATATAAAATTTTGAATCGAACTTTGATGTTATTGATTACTCGTTTTTATAAAAGTCAATATTTTGAGCTAGAATTTTGTACATATATATATATATTCAGAAGTGGGGGACGGAAAAATAAATTAAATTTATCATCTACCATATGTTTATATATACTCTCTTAAGTCAACATCTAATATTAAAATCAAAGAAAAAAAGAGGACCACTTTAACAGTGACATGAAGTGAAATTAATTAAATAGGGGAATATATAATTCATGTGATCGTCCTTTAAACTTGCAACTACCATAAGTTTTTTACTATATATATTGTATACCAAATGCTTTTATTAGATAACGATATTTAACATCAAACTGTATATATCATAAAATTCTCAAGAGTTTTCAAAGTTTGATCTTTTTTTAGACTGTAATAATTCCTAGTAATGCTTTTCTTATATATATATATATATAATATGTTTGGATATTGATAATTTTGATTCGTTAATTTTGTAAGTGCAATCATACGAGATCATTTCCTTGTTGTTCGATCGCTTATATATTATTAAAATGGGATGATATATAGCATGTTGCATTTTTCTTGCGTGGGAAATTATCATATAGTCTATATAATCTTGTTTTTTTTTTAAAAAAAAAATTATTATTATTTATGGGACCATGCATTTTGGTGAAAAGAACACAAGAAAGTAGACAATAGTAGTAAAGAAGCATCACCAACTATAAGTACATGGTCCTGGCTATACATATAGATTATAGACCCACACAAGAAAAATATATATATATATATATATATATATATATATATATATATATATATATATATATATATATATATGCAGGTTGCATAATTAATTCAACCCAAAGTTTGGTCCCAAGAAATTATTAAATTATTTGAAATGAAAAAAACACTTAAATTTATTCTTAAATATCAATATGCGATTCACACAAAAAATTAGAAATAGACCTAATTAGATGAGTACTTGATTAACGTTACTAGTCAATTATGTAAATATTAGCTCATGAGATGAAAATTGGTTAAGACAGTATAAAGTGTCACATGGAGGATTGAATATCGAGAAAATGGAATTAAATAAATATTTATCATCTCGATAAAAATTATTATAACTGAGTAAGTAATTAAGAGTCCACCTTTGTGGGTTTTGTGATCATTTAACATTACTTAACATAATGAATTAAAATAATTTCGATTGAAATTATTGACAAAAAAATATCCGATATATATACAAATCCACTTGTCACTAGCTTTTTAATGGGAAACCCTAACATCAATAAATAACAATTGTATAGAATAAGATTTCCACAAGATATGTGATTGGCATATTGTCTGGTTACCATGAATATACAAATTAATGTATTGAAAAGTCAGTTCCCAAATTAATACATCTGACTACTTCCTTCATATATCAGTCCCACCCCCAAAAATATACACTAACATGTAATATATACACCTAACACACAAATAAATATGTCATTTAACTGTGTACAACTAGACACTTCAACATTTATAAAGTTAAACAATTACAAACAGAGGATAGATCTAGGTGGATGTTGGTGGGTTCGGACGAATCAGTATCTTTTTCATAGATTCTATATTTGTACTAGAAAATTAAAGAAATATATATGTATATTAACTCGTGAACTCCTAACAAAATTGACCGATAGTTTAGTTGTAAGAAAGGGATTGTGAAAATGTCTTCCACGCTAGAGTTGCGGATTCGAATCCCACTATCAACAAAAAGTTTTACGAAATTTACAATCTCCAAACTCCACCCTGCGTGCACGACATAATACAGGTTGAACGCATGTGTCTACTCATGTTTAACTTTATACAAATTTAAATATCTCATTGTACATGCATACTAGTGTTAAGTTCATAGATATCAGTTGAAGTCAAGTTATCTATATATTATATACTTCTCTAGTTGTGCTTCAACTTTATATATTCTCTCTTCTAAACCCTTTCTTCTTTATCCTTTCTCTCTCAATATACTGTATCTTCTTTTACACATGGAGAAAACCAAAGATAAAGAAACTCAAGATTTCATGAATGTTGAATCTTTTTCTCAACTTCCTTTCATGAGACCAACGAAAGAAAAAGCCGCGATTAGGCTTTTTGGTAAAGAATTACTAGGTACTACTATTCGTCATGAAGATCAATCAATTGAGATTCATGATAGTGTTGGAGATACTACAGAAATCAACAATAACAACAGAAAATTTGAATGCCAATATTGTTGTAGGAACTTCCCAACATCACAAGCCCTAGGAGGACATCAAAACGCACATAAAAGAGAACGTCAACATGCTAAGAGAGCTCAATATGCAAAATATCAGTACAACGCTTATTTTAATTCAGCGTTGTACAATACTAGTAGTACAAGTAGTACTACTAGTGGTGGTTTGTATGTGAATAATAACGGCCATAGCCATTATTATTCACAACAAATTAATCGCGATATAAATGAAAATCACCGTTCATTGTCAGCGTTATGGAGAGTACCTCATGTTCATCATAGTAGTATTAGTAGTAGTAGTAATTCTTACTCTCCTAATAATGTTTCTAATTTTGTTAGGCCAATAGTTTATAATAATGTTAATGGAGATTTGAAGAAGATTAACACAAAGAGTAGCTCAATTTCTTTAACCAGATTTGGGTATGAATTGAAGGAAGGAGTACATCAAGATCATGTAAGTTTAGATCTACACTTGTAAAGAGTACAATCCAAGCTATAGTATCGACTCTGTTTCAATTTGTTCGTCAATTTTGTTCATCTTATTTATTTATTTTTGGACCTCTTTAATTTAGACTAAAGGCGTTTTGATACATTATATTATACGTATTTTAGTTTAAGATTATAATAAGATTTCATTATCTTATTTAGTTTCTTAAACTTCATACTGTTAAATTAAACTAAGATTATATTAAGTATCTTAACTTGTTCTTAAATTTCTTTTTTAGCACTTCAGCATAACCTTGTTTTGTTTTAATCCTTTTTAACTCCACTTCTAATGTACCATTTTAATTAAAAATATTTATGATAAGTACGAGGTATCCATGGATTAGTTTGTACATTGCAATTACTATTTGTTAATTATCTTCAATCAATTAATAAAGTGGAATTCCACCATTAAAGTTTTGGAATAATTCATTTGGGATACATACACTTAATTTTTAGTTAAAATCTCTATAAGATGTGAATTCAAATTCAATCGTTTTCAATATGATATCAAATATCGAAGAAAAAAAAAAGTACTTTGGTAGCATAAAAGAATAATGTTTATAGAAATTCACATAAATTTTAAGCCATATATCTATTCCAAGTCTCTCTCAGCTTCTATTGTCCTTGTTCTGTATACAGGGTGGATCCAATGTTATGATATTGAGGTTTATCTGAACACAATACACTTGACATTGGAGTTGAGTATGTAGTGTGAATTCATGACTTTAAAAATATAAAACTATTCCCTTTCGCGATGTCTCGATTTATGTAATGTGCTTTTTTCTTTAGTTTGTCTTAGGGCCCGTTTGGATGGGCTTAATAAAAGCAGCTTTAAAAAAGTACTTTTAAAAGTGCTGAAACTTATTTTTAAAATAAGCAGTTATGCGTTTGGATAAAAGTGCTGAAGTTGTTATGTCAAACGTGAAAAGGGAAAAATGGAAGAAAGAAATGTTAGGGTTATATGGGTAATTTGGAGATTGTATAAAAATATTAAGCACAAAAAGATAAAAATGTGGTCAACTTAAAACAGCTTATAAGCTAAAAAAAAAAAACACCCCTACCCCAGCTTTTAACTTTTGGCTTAAAATAAGTTTTTTTAAACTTAAAATAAGCTATTTTGAGTATTGCCAAACAACTAAATAAATCAAAAACCAGCTTTTAAGTCAGTTTGACCAGCTTTTAAGCTGAGCTAAACAGGCTCTTAAAATGAATATTCTATTTCTATATTTAGAAATAGTCCAATTTTAATTAAATTCTTACTTATCTTTAATGAGATAATTTATAGTCAGACAAATATTTCAAATTCGATAAGTATTGGTAAATCTTCTATATATTTCATTATAATTTCTATGATTCAGATTAATATTTACTTTTAATCAAAGTTAAAATACAGAATTCCTAGTCCTCATAGATTAAAGGTGAACACTCACTGTTTATGATATGAATAATATATCATAATTTTTAATCTTGTTTGCTCTTCATACTTTTACACCTTAACATCAATATATTTCTTTTTTAAAGTACTTCGACTTAGTCAAACAATACCACATGAATCGAAATGAATAATATACTCTACATGAAGGGGAATGTTTTCCCCTTCCTCATAGAGAATTTTAGAATATAATATATATATATATATAATTTTGTGTCCTTCAACTCATGTAGGCAATAGTCTAAGAAATTGTTTGCTACTCTATATTAGGAGAGGAATGGAACACCACTTTAGTTCTGCATTTTTCATAAGAGGTATGAAAAGGGAAACAACAAGGAAAAAGCATAATTGGTTGAGATTTAGGACAACCTAGCTAGAGCATTGATGAAAGTGAACTCATTTGAAGACATTGTACCTACATATTCTTATTCTTTTTAGTTTCTGGTGTTCAATATTTATATTAAAATTTGATTAAATTATCTGAATTCATCGTTTTCGGAGGTGATGCTTTCAATAAGTTTTTTTTTTTCTCAAAAGCTCGATGGAATCCGAAATATATGATTAAAGATGAAGAAATCTGAATCACTCTGTCACAGCCCGTAAATCGTACCTACATGTTGCTTTCAAGTTTCAATACAATCAATGCATGTACATCAAATAATTGATGACACCTCTCTCATGCTTTGGACCAGCTCTTTGAGTCTTCCATTACATTTTTATCAAATCTCAAATTTTCAATTTTCTTTCTATTGAGCTATAGATAATGTAAAAATATTTTATGTTATACCATATTGAAAATAAATTTTGGGTATATTATGACATTGAAGTTCAATCTATAATTACCATAACCACCACAACTATCCAATGGGTCCACTAGTAAATGCAACGTGTTAGGACATTGAAAATTGAAATATACATATAAGGACATAGATCTATGTAGACAAGATGATTAAAAGGGAACAAATGAACAAATAATTTGAATTTTGAATTTAGGACCACACACTACACCATAGAACAAAAAAACTTAAATGTATAGAGACATGAGTTTTAAACATTATTTTTTTTAGTAAATGATTTTCTCTTTTGAGATTTTTTTCTCAATCCCAACCTCAGACTAGTCAATCGAATATTGATTAATATGTAATCGGTTGAACACTATTTAAAAACAACTCTTCTGCTTCAAAATGAACTGTTCCAAATAACTTATAGATCTTTTAGATCATATTAGTTCAATGTTTGTTAGTAATGCTCAAAAATACATAATTAAATAAATATTAGACTCGAGTCTAACAATTTTCAAAAAAAGTAGTTTCTCTAGAGCTATATTTGCACTACTTATAAAAATAAAGCAACAATCTAAATGGCCATTCTCACAAATGCCCCCATTCAAATTTGTGGTATTTTCATATCATAATATCTCATAAGTTATGTCTTAAAAGGTAAAATGCCCTTGACACCAAAATAACAAACAACTCTTTCGCGACGTAAGTACTTTATATGCTCATATCATAATATTCCACAAATTATGTCGTGAAAGACACAACAAGTTATGTCTTTATTCAAGATACATTATATTCAAGATACATTATAGGGCAAAAGACAGAAATCACATACTTTTAAGATAAAATTACTATTTGTCCCTTATAAGTTTATAATTACAAAAATTCCTCAAACTGATACAATAATATAAGCGTTGATATATTAATTTGATGCGCGAGATACATTAATCGTTAAGTAAGATACATTACATTTTATACATAATACACAAATCTGATCTACGAGATACATTAATCTGATGCGCGAAAATGAGAGATTTTGGAGATTTGTAAAACTAATAGGAGATAATGCTAATAAGAAGAGCTTAAATGTGGGATTTTTGTCTTTTTTCCTATATTAGGATTATATCCAAGTGGACTCGTATTAATGTGAGATATCGGGCTGAAAGTTCTGAGGGCAACCCATTCACAGAGATGAAGCCCAATTAGTGAAAGAATAATTGGGCTAAACTACTAAAGCCCATATATAATCCGGCCCAACCCATTAAAAGCCCTATATACATTCGTCTCTTCATTTTGATTTTTAGGGTTTCAGTCGCTTCCTTCCCGCATACACAGTCACACACTGCACTCACCGGAGAAAGGCGGAGGAAAATGCCGGCCGGCCATGGATTGAGGTCTCGTACGAGAGATTCATTCTCTCGTGCATTTAGAAAGAAAGGTACAATTCACCTTTCAACCTACCTGAGAATCTTCAAAATCGGTGATTATGTTGATATCAAAGTGAACGGTGCAATTCACAAGGGAATGCCGCACAAATTCTATCATGGCCGTACCGGACGTGTCTGGAACGTCACCAAACGCGCCGTCGGTGTCGAAGTTAACAAGCAGGTCATCTCTCTCTTTTTACATACCTGATTATTTTTAGCTGCGTTTATATGAAATTGAATGAATCAATCAATGCATTTGCTCTTCAATTGTTGATTTGTAGCTTAAATTAGCCATCCGTTCGTATCAATTTGTGTTAAACTATCATGATCTCAAACAGATTGAAGTAACAGTATTTTCCGGAACAATGTCCAATTATATTGGTAACTCAGTTGAATTACAAGCTAAGCTGATGACAGAAATAACAGTAGAAGATAATTATAGAATAGGCAAATTCGTATGAATGAATTGAACTTCAGCTATTAAGAGCTTTCAGAGCCTTGAAGTGAAGCATTTTAATTTCCAAGTAAAATCAATGAATGGAGCTGTGTAGTAATGCACACTTACAGAAAGCCTCGAGCTTTGTTTATCGAATGTTTACATGGATATCAAATGCTGAATTGCATTTACAATGGTGAATATAAGGTTTTCTGATTCATTCATATTTAAGAAATCTCATTTTATTTTGTAAGTATCCACAAAGCCAGAGTGAATTTTTTTAAAAAAATGGAATAGTAAAATGTGAAGCTTGTGAACTCATAGAGCAAAAGGTTATCAATGTATGTATCAAATTGTCGAGATATATAGGTTATAATTATGTCTTGAGACATGAAATCTTCGTAGTTTCTACTTAACTGGAGCTTTTCTGTATATAACCGAGTCATTAGAAGACCACCTGCAGATGTTTTTTTGTTGAAATGATGAATTTTCATCATGTCTTTTCTGTTACGTAGTTTCGAGTATATCTTTATGTAGAAGTGTAATGGATTGTTAGTTGAATTGGATATTTGTTATTTGGTCCTCTAACATTAATGCATGGGATGCCTGTCTAACGGTTTTCTTTCTTGTTCTGGATCTCAGGTTCGTGATCGTATCCTAAGGAAGAGGATCCACGTTAGGATTGAACATGTTCAAGCTTCTCGATGCACCGAAGAAGTCAGAGAAAGGATCAAGAAGAATGACCAGATTAAGGCTGAGGCCAAGGCTAGAGGAGAGATTGTCAGCACAAAAAGACAACCCGCAGGACCCAAACCAGGATTCATGGTTGAGGGCGCTACGTTGGAGACAGTTACCCCCATACCATATGATGTGGTTAACGATTTGAAGGGAGGCTATTGATTTTACTCTGTTTATGCGCTGGTGATCGTTTACGATCTTTTATGAAATTGAAAGACAAGATTAGTTTTTTTTTTTGGTGTCACCTCAGACTCCGCATTTTATTTATAAATTTTGTTTACAATATGAATTGAAGCGTTCGTTGAACTTGATGCAAGTGCAGAAGTATCTATAAGTACTTGATTCTGTGCATTAATCCATAGAGTTTCCAGTTGAGCTATTATATTTCCTGTTATTATTTCATAACTTATAGAATGAAACTTCGTCGATCGACTTACATTTGTGTTAAATACATTGCTCTCAACATGTAAACTTCCAACATGTAAAATCGTTGGTATTCATAGCCACATATCACAAATAATCCAGTATTGGTGCAATTCTTCCATCTGTTGAAGCAGATTTGATTCAGAGTGCATAACCTTAGTGCTTCTTTTACAATTTAAGTGGCCTGGTTGATACTCCAAAGTATAATTTTTGTATTGCCTATGTATTAGACTCAGGTCCTGCTGGTTTTGCAGTGAGAAGTGGTTGCAGTGCCTTGACGACTATCGTCATATTTGGTCGAAAATCTGCCTCATATTGTACACAGAGTGCTGCAACAGCTGCCATCTGAGAGGAAAATATACCGTTAAGAGTTACATTGTCAGTGTAAATAAGTTAAATCTGTTTACAAAATACTAGCAGCAAAGATGAGTAAGAAAACCTTAGCAATTGCTTTTGCTGGATAGTCATTGTTTAGCTTTGGATCGACACATTGCTTCACTTTGTCTTCACTCAATCTTGGAGTTGCCTGCAGAAAATTCGAGTATGAATCAGCCGACGGATGGTATAGATAGGTTCGATGACAAAGAGGTAAAGGTAAGAACCTACCCAAGTGACAAGACTCTGTTGTCCTTTGGGCATTGTATGATCTACTGGCTTTCTTCCCGTCAGGAGTTCCAAAAGAACGACTCCAAAACTATAGACATCGCTTTTCTGTGTTATCTGTCCTGTCATTGCATACCTGCACAAAAGCTTGATCTTTATATTTGTTATATCTACTTGTGTTTTATGTTGTTATCATGGTTCTTGTCAGTACTAAATATCCTTTTTGTGTATGTCTAGTATATCTAACGGAAACAGCCTTTCTACTTCTGAGGTACGTGTAAGGTATATTACACTCTACCCTTGATCCCCAGAACTCACATTGTCGGACTATACTGGATATGTTGTTGTTGTTAATGCAAACTCAGAATGCAGCAGGACTTACTCTGGAGCATGATAGCCAAATGTCCCCAAAACTCTAGTGGAATGAAGACGAGCTGCTGTATCGGAAGTCTGGTTTGTCAAGTTGAAATCAGCAACCTTAGCTGTAAAATCATCAAAGAGAAGCACATTGCTGGATCTGACATCGCGATGAACAATAGCTGGCTGAATTTTTTCATGTAAGTATTCGAGGCCTTTTGCTGCACCAAAAGCAACTTTAACTCTCTGATTCCAGGTAAGAACTGGACCAGGCTCCGCGCCTTGGACACCTTTTCTACCTACAACAAAAACATCCAACATTCAACTAAATTGCCTCAACAAGTCATGCATTCATAATTATTTTTACTTGACGGAACGATTTCACATACCATGTAATACATCATGTAGAGATCCCATGGCTGCAAATTCATATATCAAGATTCTATTGTTTGCTTCTAAACAATACCCCATAAGATTCACAAAATGCTCATGCTTAAGCCTTGAAACCATTGATAACTGCAACAGTCGACGAAAAAACAATCAGATTTCAGGTATACTGAACATCCTTCCTCGGAAAATTATACTGTATATGTTACTTTTTACACATATACATCAAACTTTGAACATCTCTTATTGAAATTTCTGGCTTCGTCACTTCACCTGTGCTGTAAAGTCGGAATCTGGTTCTGGTGAAGAACTAGTATCCAACTTTTTGATTGCTGCTTCCTGTCCATTGCTTAATTTAGCAAAAAATACGCGTCCATATGATCCCTCTCCGATCAAAGCCTTCTGACCAAAGTTTCCGGTCAGTTTATTCAGTTCGTCCAAGGGTAAAACCGGTATTTCGATAGGTAAAACTTTCTGTGGAGTTCCATTTCTTGTACCACCCCTTGGCTCTGCTCTATCACTAGCTACGATACCAAAAAAATGAACTTAAATTTAATCCATCATATTCTTATAGTCAGACAAATGTATAATATATGTATACATAGTGTATATCAGCTCGTTTGTAAATATTTTTGACTGAGTGAACAAATGTGTAACTTCCCCTAACAACCACCTAATGCTCTAACTTTCTAAAAAAGCAAGTAATATATAAGACGGCGTGTCTTTTTGTATATATTGATTTGGTGTAAACATCGAGTACAGATAAAAAATATTTCGAGTAAAAACGTACCACCACCAGCGTAGGGATTTCCAGCTCTAGGAGGTACTGTATTTTGGTTAGACGGCGGACCGCCGCTGTAAACGTCTTCTTCTCTACCTCCACAGCAAGACATTTTTTTTGTTCAATTATGGAAGGTTCAATATCTCTTCCAAAAATGTTGGTTTTATATATCAATCCATATAAATTTCAACAATGTAATTGAATTTTATATGATGCACAAAAGAATTTCCTAGGAAAAAATTAGAAAATATTAATTAAAACACTTTCAACAAAAAAAAAAATTGAAACAATACACAACTATTTTGTCTATCATGAAAATGAGGACAATATCGTATAGATACCTATCCACCAATTCATCGTCAATGGCGTAGTCAGAAATTTAGATAACGATATTTCACACGTAATTATAACTCGATGAAACACAATATTTTATATTGATAAATATGAGAGATGTTACATACCAAAAATCTTAGGGAAAAGAAGAGCAATTAATGATCACATGGAAGAATTAAGAGATTTGTTTCATTGCTGCATTTCTCTTTTCTTTTTCTTTTTTTGGTTTTTGTAATTTTGATAATTTTCTTTTCTTTTTCTTTGTGTTGATGGGGAAAAAAAAATTAATTTTCTATGTTTAAAACGGGAAAGTCGCATGAAGTCTTTAAACCATTAAAACCAACACATTTTTACGTATTAAATAAAATAATTATAGTACGTGATTCCCTTCTCTTTGCACGTCCTATATTTTCAATTATTATCATGCACTTTCGTTTATCGGTATAATTTCATAGGTAAAGTAGTATGCAAAGATTTTACCCTTGTGTTCAACTATATCAAATATCTGAATCGTTAAATCTCTTTATAACAACGTACAAATATTCCTGGTTGCTATCACAAAATGCTATTATAAAAAACATATACTTCATCCGTCCACTTTTAATTGTTGTGGTTTCTATTTTTAGAGTCAAACTATAAAAACGTCGACATTTTATGATGTATTTTATCATATTGATATGCAAAAAATTGCAATTTATAGTATTTTCATTGACTTTCAAAAGACGCAACATGACAAATAAAAGCGAACAGAGAGAGTAGTATAATATAACATGAAAAATAGTTCCAACTAAAATGATCATTTTAGTAAAAAATGTTGTTAGAAAGGATTATTGTTATAATGAGGTCTGACTAGTTACAATCGAGGTTCATAATTTTTCTTGTGTTATCAAGGTGGGGAAGGGAAAAGCTCGGGATTGGAAAAAAGGCGGTGCTTATTTTCCAGATACTGTCATTGCTTATTGACCATTTCTTTTATAAAGAGAACTTTGCTGAAAAAATCAACTTTTTAGACTGAAATGAAAGGTTAGAATGACATATTTTTTTTTCCAAATGAACAAATCAAAACTTTAGTTCATTCAAATTAGAGTACTATGACTTCCAACTTACATATTTTGGTTTGTGTTTGGTACAGGGGAAAACGTGTTTTTCCCTCGTACCATACACAACCGTTCTCTTCAAAAGTGATCTTCTGAAGAGTCGACACTATACAATAGCTTAGGCACTCTCTTTCCATATACGACCTATGACCTTCAACGTAAGCTCTTCTCCGTTCCCACCTGAGAAGAAAAATGCTAAGCTTCTCGGAATAATTAGTCCATCTTGACAATCGCGGACTTTACCATGACTGTCTCGTATACTCCTAGGAACACCTTGCCATGTTAACTTACGGCCATAACCACCAACTTGTAGACTATAGTTGAACATTTTGGCCTCGTTGTCCTCTCCCATGAATCGCAGAAAAGCTATGTATACCGGTGTCATACCTAGTGAAAACGCCTCAAAATGTAAGACAAATTGTCTTCCAAAACAGTCGAAAACCTGCATTTGATTGAAACATGTTAAGTGTACAATCACAGAACCATAACACAAGATATGTGAATCCGTCTATCCAACAGATTTCAAAAAGTTCATTTTCGAGTACTCCCTACAACTAAGAGATCAATCCGAGGAACATTGAGCCAGAAAAATACTCTGTTTGAGCATAACTATAGCTGTTAAAAGTAGCAAAAACTTACTGTTAGCATCCATATTGCATTGTCAACTTGTTGTGCATTTGATTTAACATATCGATGATTGAACGTGCAGCCACTATGCATATCAACTTTGTGATCCTCCTTGAGATGCAACATGAGTGTTGGAATGTCCCCTTTTATCGAGCATTCTGATCCCGCGTAAGGACAGTGGTAAGGCCTAAATTTGCAATGTCTTTCGTGTTTGAGCTTTCGATAGTAAGGTAATATTTTGTGACAGCCAAGATTTTGATGTCTGCAGGGCAGTTCAAGTGACTCTGCTACTTTCTCTAAGGCTAAACACCTTATGTTTCCAAGTTCAACTTTGCAAGTTGGACAGAAATCTGTTGCTTCAATTTTGCAGTTTGTGCATAGTGTATGACCATTTGGACACTACAAACAAAGATTGTGAGATGAAAAGAATCAATATAAAAAATGAATTTCGGTTATATTTTTCTATCTGTCAAAGTATTGCTGGTAGAGTCACTCGATATATGTGATAACAATTATATTAGTACTTGGTGGACTAACAGTCGAGGTGCACACAATAACGCGATCCACAAACTGACATGTGAAACTCACTCTTTACTTGAGAATATAGAGGGGAAACATAGCATGTCACAAGAGTGAGATGAGGTTTGGAATCCGAATGCCAGAGGGACGCCTAGCGAGCCGGGCTTTTAGTGATGAGGCCTTATAATTGTGAATTACCAAACCCTACAACATCCTGAGTAAATGGTAGTGTATATGTTGTCCCTAATTTCCAAAGGTACCTATAAGAAAATTACACTATAAAGAATTTATTGTCAATTATGTTGTTCAGACTCTTTAAATTAAAACATATTGTCGCGCCTATGTCTGATCCTTTAAAAGACAATATTTTTAAAAAGTACAAGCAACATAGTTAATCAATTACTTCATATGTAAACTAACAACAACAATAGGATTCTTCTCATCTGTCCTGATCTTGGTGAACGGAGTTACCTGGTACCTATTGCCGATAGGAAGTGACAAGTATCGTATGAAATTAGACGAGGTACACGAAAGCTGGTCTAAACACCACGATGATTAATAAGAAAAAAACAATAGAAGGAGTAGTAATTACCTGGTAAAATGGAGGATACATGAACCTTCTACAAATTGGACACTCAAGCAACTCATGGATTGAACACTTTTGAAACTTTTCACCAATACATGTAATACTTTTCTCTAGCTCATCATGTATATTTGTTGTATCAAATCTTGAAACTTTTTGCCATGATTCTACAAGTTCTTTGCAACTACTAACACCACCACCAGGAGCCATATTTTGTAAAAAAATAAAAAACTTAGACAATATTACTTTAATTTAACATAAATTAAAATAACCAAAGATTAAATACTTATAAGTCCAAATCTATGGTAGAAAAAACTTGAAAGACTAGAAAATCAAAAAGAGGAAACAACGTTAATAATACGCTAAGAAAGACCATATATACTTGTGGAAGTCCAGATGCTCACTTTGACTTGGTATATAGTTGGAAAAGACTATTTTAATATAATAATAATAATACTAACAACTACGCCCCAGTCCCAACTCACGAGCAAATTAGAATCGGCTATATCAATGTACTAAAACAAAGTTTTGATATATAGACGTTACGTTGAATCATTTCCATATCTTCGTGTGTTTATTTATTTATTTTTTGACTCTCCCTGGTTTTGCTACTAACCGGTTACATGAATCCTTACTGACTATGTTAGTATTCAATACAATTAAATTCATCTCAAAAGCCCTGAGTATGGAGAAAATCTTGTTGGGAGCGTCACCCCGAATGGGCCATGCAGTGTGCGATCTGAATTTAGTCGGAGCTCCAATATGAACTTCGAACACCGAGTGAAAAACCAAAAGAAAAAATAATAATAACAGGAGGGGGAGGAGGGGGGGGGCACCATTATCTATAATTCTATCGTTAATCGACTATATAAATCTTTACCGATCATGCTACTCTACGTAAATTCATTTAATGTTAAACAATTTTTTTTAAAAAAAATGTATATATATTGTATGTTTGAATCCTCTTGACATGATTTTCATATTTTCATTTTTATATTTGACATTCGCATTGAAAATTTTGGTTTCTCTATAAGTAAAATAAAATAAAATGTATTTCAACTAATAAATATCGTCTATATAAATCTTTTTATTTCCTTAACCATGAAAAAAACAAAATCAGAAAGTAGAAAAAAGAATACTATTAATTATTGGGTGGGGACTTGGTCTGCTATTATTTATATTCCCTCTTGTATTTTTCCTATCTGGGTAGATGAGGTAGGTACAACTTTGAACTAATTTAAACCAAATAGATTCTTTTAACAAACAACCCAATGGAAATTAAATTAGAAAATAAAATTAAAAAAAAAGTTTTCAACATATTTTTTATTATCTCAAATAAATACACAAACGACCAAAAAACAAAAATTTAGATGCACTCATCTGTATATGTTTAATATTTCCATTTGGCAAAAATTATTTTAAGAAGACAAAGACTTTGAAGCAATGCTAACAAAGGTTAAATTAATATTATATTGTAAGCTATAGTGAAGTCAGAAATTATGTAAAAAACGTTCAAAATGTAATATACATTTACAAAAATATTTTCTTACCTAACACTTATTGGGACACCACCAAACTATAAGGGAAAATTATGCGACTTAGGTAATTCAGTCTTTTTATTATCCGTTATAATTTTTAAAAATTACATATATAATATCGTGATAGTTTGAGATTTTCTAACATGTATGTCTTGAAATAAAGATATTATCAACATGCAGATACAATGTATTCACTATATTTTGAAACCAAAATGCTGCTATGTTTCAATTTTCCCAAACTATAAAAGAAATGAAATAGTCATATATATATATATATAAAGACATAGTATATTATCAACATGGGTTACTGTGCAGTGATGAGACTGTTTTATTCGTAATCAGAAATTTCGAGTTTGAGCTTTGAATATGAAGAAATTTCTGTTAGGAGTGTCACATATAAATGAGCTCTGCAAATTTGTAACCTAAATTTAATCGAGACTCCAATACGGCGCAGAAAGTATATCCACGTAGAGACAATTTAATGAATTGATAGCCCAACCAGCAATCATCAGGACCACCCTTTTATGTTTTTCCTTTAATTTAATATTTTTCAGTACTTATAAATGAAAAAGGACAACAATAAAAACAATGTTTTCAGTTTTATTTTGTCATCAAAAGCATCTTTCTTGGCTTTTTGTAACCAACTAATTTTTTTCATGTTGGAAATTCAAAATAGGTTTTAAAACTCACAAAACCAAAATCCTATCCTAACAAACTAATATTCTGAGAGCAGCATACCTCTTTTTCGTAACGGTGGTGTTCAGATAAGTTTGCATGTCTAATACTCAGTAAATACAAGATAAAGATAAAATAACGTCAATAGCGTTTTTGAAAAATAATCACGACTTGTCGTTAGAGGTAAATTCCATTAAACTAGACTTGTAAGCTTGACATGAAAAATAGAGGCAAACAAAATTCAAAGGTCGAGCCTCAACCAAAAAAGTGGGACAACCACAGGTAACCAAATATGAACTGATATCATAGGCACTTTGACATCGAAAGAGGTGAAAGAAACAATCCATAAAAAAAATTGATACTACTCACTAAATTTTGTGGTTAATAAGATTTGTAGTTTCACAGGTAAAATTTAAAACTCCGTAGCCACAACTACTTTGCAATATCTTGCGAGCAAAGATGAGTAGACCTCACTTGTGGGGTTACACTGTTATTGTCGTAATTAGGAAAGATAATCCAACAAAATGGGGCATATTTGTAAGCCCATATAACCAAGAACATGATTGAGTTATATGTTAAATCAACCAAAATATACACAAAAAGGATGTAAATTGAAAGGAGAGGACTAAAACTCCTATACACATATACAACAACTTGCTTATTTTCTTACTTTCTGCCCCCCTCTCGGTGAGGGAGGGGACGAATTGATGGCGCCCATGGGTGAGCTAAAGAGGTCTGAGAGTCTTTTTTGGGGCACTGATCCATGAAGAACCCGCGATTGCAAATCTCCACAATGCATTAACATGTTCTGGCAAAGCATACTCTATACCGACTCTTGGACCAACAAGTATATGTTCTGGTTCTGGACCATCTAAGAGTTCTAAACCGCCTGTCCTATGCATAAGAATACGCGGGAGATTCATATAAGAACACACGATCCTAAACGTTGTAAGATGGAAAAACAGAATGCTTACCGGCTGTGTATAGAGCGTGGCTAGACCATTCTGTTGATAGTCCTAATGCTTGACCAACCTACATAGAGACACAAAGTAACACTGTCATGTAAAAGTAAGGTTGCGCTAACTTGTAACTATCTTAAATAAAAGAAGTCGCAATTAATGCATCTCATATCTTTTTAAGAAGGCTTGTCGATCCTTCTTCGTTATCTTTATCCATGACATCTTTTTCATTTTGAGGCAGAGCCCCCTAATTTACCAGGTTTTTGCATACCTTTAGTCTACAATCTCTCATATATCTCGAGAGCCAAGAATGACTTTCATCGTAGACTCCATTATTCATAATTCTCTTTTGTGAGATAGTTGGTACTGTTGTTTGTCATGGCTCTGATACTATGTTGTCAGGAAGAAATAACCCAACCAAGGAATAGTATCCACGTAAAATCAAGGAAACCAAATCTATTTAATGCGGAGAATATAATACATTCGAGAGGAGCAATATAATGCCACTATAGTGAGAAATTTAATATAGCTCTATAGCTAAATTCTCAGAGCTAAACTCTTTTCACATGGGATCTAAATCAAGTAAGGCAAATAAACTTTCGGTTATCTTTAAGAAAGGCTTGATCAATACAATGACATTAAACAAGCAACTTAGCCTATACCCGACAAAGATCATAACTTACCTTTCCGGGACCTGCAAGAAGAACAGGTTTCTCAGTTTTTAAACCCCGACGCTGCTGAATAGTACCTAGACCTGCAGAGTGAACTCCATAATTATTGAAAGAGAACTCTAAAATAGCATTTCAGCTTTGTATGTTAGAGATATTATACTAATCCAATAATGCAGGACTTGAGAGGAAAGATCATCATCTTTTTTCCCCAGAAGGGGTAAAAAGATCAACGTAAGTGGGGCAGTCTGTGTCAATGCTAATGTGTTCTATATAACTTGTTTGCCATTTAGCATGCAAGCATTTTTTTTTGTAAGGTCCATTTATCACGCAACAATGGGAACTCCAACGCATGAACCATAATTCTAGAGTACAAAAAAGTGATCATTTTAGAAGTATCAAGTCGAACTCGGGATATTAAAATAGCCATATGATGTAATTCTTCCCTGGCCATACCTCTAACTATCTTGATATTGGTTGGTGATATCAATTAAAACAGACAGATATTAGTTAATTTAGAAGAACCCGACAAGAACTATAGCTGCTGCGGTAACTTTTCGATGGATGCATTTAACTACCCTATACTACCATCTAATTGTTTTCTGAGGTGCACTAATGCCACAATGTAAATTGGTCAAAATGGGAATGTTGCTTCAAAGAGTGAAAAGATCACTATGAGAAAGTGGGGTACTTCGGAAAGTGCATGCATCGACTTGCAGTGGGACTCAAAGGATCAAATAGAGCATATTAAAAATAAGGAAATATGGAAGGTACGAGAGTTTGTAATTCAATTTACCGTAGATGGGAGCGCAGGAACGAATCAAGACAGCTGCTCCGGCTTCTTCCTTGTCTGCTACAACATTGAGCATCATGTGGAGACCGTAGCATAGGTAGACATATGCATGACCACCAGGACCAAACTATAGATCACAAATCATTAGAAAATTTAGAAGACACGCACCGATACACCCATGCTAATCGATGTCATTACTAAGAAATGAACAAATGTTCAGTTACAAAGAGCACCTTGAAATGTTTCACATGGCTCCAAAAGGTAAATACACCAGAAAGCCACCGACTATGCTCACCAAAGATTATGTCCAACTCAGGATAAATTTGTATTTAAGATATAGAGCTAAAAAATTGCATAAGATCGTAAAAGTTTTCTTCACGCAACCAAATCTATGAGATTGATATCATTAAGTCACACTGTAAAACAAATCAACTTTCTACTTATAAGCAACTATAACCTACCTTTTCTGGAAACTCTAAAGACACGTGACAACATCGATTTACAAGTTTGAATTAAACAGTGTGTTAACCTTCACTATAGTTTAAATAAACCAATATCTAGCATAGGGCAACAACAACATTTTCTTTGAGTAAACGACGCCATTACATTATATTTCATGACAGACGGTCGACATCGCACATCATATCTCCAACTCTTACTTAATAATAATTTCTGAACAACTATTTATGCAATAGAGCATAGCCCATCTATGTTCATGCATAAATTTTAGATTATAAAATGAAGAAAGAGGGAAAAGATTTAAACTTTGAAGGAAAATCATTCATTCAGAAACTCAATAAAATTTCTTGATGCTCTCCTCTCTACTTCACTACAACACAATACTCTACTGCCCTTCTTCACTACAAGATAGGAAGAAGCGCTGATTTGTACTAATGCAAGAACGTATTTATACTAGAAACTGAAAAACTTATTCCTATATAATTTTGACAACAAATCCTATTTAGAGATTAACTAAGTAAACAAACAAATATCATATCCTAAACAATTTTGGTTTCCTACAACGTTGAATTGGTTTTCCAACAAACTTGAGTGAAACCGATCATCCAAAAGCTCAAAGCTTTTATAGAGTGTGGCACATGCTTACTATATCCATTTCAATTTGTTTGTCTAGTTTTGACTTGGTACAAAGTTTCACTCCTAAAAAAGAGTAAAGAAGACTTTTTTATGATCTTCTCAAACATGTCACATGGAAAGTTAATTCTTTTTTAAACAGAAAAGTAAGACAAACAAAGTGAAACAGAGTGAATATTAGTTATGTCTGCAACTAAAAACTTAACACACACTTGTTCACTTCTTCACAACATTCACCGCTAATGCAAAGTTAATGACACAAAAATATCAGCTTTTAGAATCTTACAACAGGGGCAGTCCTTGCTGTTTTGCCAAATCGACCATGACAAGCTGAATCATTTGGCCTATAAGCTTCCACCTATCAACAAGAACAACAACCCCATTATTCAAGAACAATGAAGCAGCACAAACACATTCACCAACAACATTAAAACCTCAGAACAATAAAGCAGCACAAACACATTAAATCAATAACATTAAAACCTCAGAACAATGAAGAAGCACAAACACATTTAATCAAGAACACCAGTAACATCAAAACAATAAAGCAGCACAAACACATTAAATCAACAACATTAAAACCTCAGAACAATGAAGAAGCACAAACACATTTAATCAAGAACACCAATGACATCAAAACAATAAAGCAGCACAAACACATTAAATCAAGAACACCAACAACGTCAAAACTTCATAACAATGAAGAAGCACAAACATACATTAAATCAAGAACACCAAAAACTCAGAACAATAAGCAGCAAAAACACATTAAATCAAGAACAGCAATAATATTATGAGACCTCAGTTATCTGAAGAAGCACAAACACACATTAAATCAAAGAACACCAACAAAATTAAAAACCTCAGTTATCTGAAGAACAACATCATCCCTCCTAAGGAACTTGCCAAGCAAACGTGGGGCAAGATCAAGAGCATCAATTTGGTAAAAATTTCGACTCAAGATTGGATTTTTATCCAAGAAAGCTATAAGGGTAGTGTTAATTTGAGGTATTGGGAGGTTTTCTTCAGATTCTGAGATGGGTTTTGTATATTCTTTTGATTTTTGCTTGTTTTTGAATCTTTTGGACGATGAAACTTTGGTTTTGGTGGCAAAATTTTGAACAGTAATATTGTGATTTGAATCGTTTTTTAAGCGATGGGTTTTCTTCATTGGATTAATATTAGCATTGAAATGGCAGATTAGTGTGCAACTTTGACAAGAACCATAGCATAGGGTCATAAGCTGAGTTGAAAAAAATTGTCAACTTGGGGTTTTACAATTGTTACAAAATACAAATTGTAGTAAACAAGTATTGGCCTTAGAAAGTGAGTTTTTATTACATATGGTCCACCTTAGGTGCGATAAGCTCGATTCGAAAGATAAATTTTTATTTTCGTCATTATAAAATTTTGAATTTGAGATTATCATCATAAAAATCTTAAATTTAAATCACTGGAACACTCCCGAAAGGTCATACTACTCTAAGTTAAATAAAAAAAACATGAGAAAGCACATTATTTGAATTCTCCTTCTTTTTTCCTCTATGAAATTGAAACAAAAGAATTGCTCGAAAGAATTGACCTCGAGCCTGTCCTACTCATTCTCCCTTTCCTGTTCCTGAAGGATTAGCTAACAAACAACAAAAGAAAAGTAATATATTCTAAGTTAAATGACAAAAACAAACGATTCAAAATCTCCTCTTTTTTTTTAACGAAATTGAAACAAAAGAATGGTTTGTAAGATTTGTTAACTAATAAACAAAAGAATTGCTTGTAGGATTAGCTAATTAATAGTTCAATTGAGAATTCTGTGCATACATATTTCATAAAATTAAGAAACAAAAGAATGGTTTGTAAGATTTGTTAACTAATAAACAAAAGAATTGCTTGTAGGATTAGCTAATTAATAGTTCAATTGAGAATTCTGTGCATACATATTTCATAAAATTAATCGAGATAGCATCGATTCAATTACATATATAGATATCTAATAAAATTAATCGAGATAGCATCGACACAATTGACGGAAAAATGCAAAAAAAGAAATCGTCGCCTGAGAGATTCGAACTCTCGCGGGGAAACCCCATGTACTTAGCAGGCACACGCCTTAACCACTCGGCCAAAGCGACCTTTGTTGCTTAGAATTCATTAGTTTTTTTTTAATATAAAGTGTTATCAATCTCAATTTGTGGGACATAATTTAACTGAACACGAAGTTTAAGAAATACGAAAAGATATTAAAGTGATATATCTTTTTAATTAAACATTTCTTACTCTACTGAATCAAAAGACATGCACTTTTATATAATCAGATATTTCAGATTCAAATAACAGACATTTCTTTCATTTACATAGATAAGATATTCAATGAATTAATTTAATTAACTGTCATATATCTAGTTGTGGTGCTTCATGCTTGTCTCTTGAAGTAACTTCTTGAATATAGTCTTTGCTAAAATACATTTTATTTTTCGACATAAAACTTTTAACACGAATTAAAATTTTATCAAACATCATCAATCGATAAATAAATAAAAGTTTGAAAAGCAAGTGTCATTCCCTAGTTATTTAATCCATTACTTCAAATATAATATTATTGTAAGTGCTCTTCCCATTACACACATGGTTTAGTTCATGCCTAGGTTGACACATCTAACACGACATGCATGGGCATGCTAGTTTATTTACAAAATTATTTTCTAATTTTTCATCTGATATTTAATATTTTTTTAAAATCTCGATCAATTAAATTTAAATATGCTTTAAAGAGTCTCATGTTAAAGTAAAGTCTTTCGCAATAAAAATAACTTTATATTTAATAGGAGAAAAATAACAACTTTTTTATTTTTAAAAAATAGACATAATATAATATCTTTTAAAAAAAATTATCCACACCAAATATGTTATCCTACAGTATCTTTTATCTTAGTTTAGAGAATACACAATATATTGTCGTTATTATTATTTTTGAATATAATATGATAGATCTGAATTTCTTTTGAGTCATTTTCTTTTATTGTTTTCTAGAAATTGAATTAAATTTTGTTAAATTAGTCAATGGAGGAAAATTAGGTGTATTAAAGAAACACTTGTCCTTAGATCCTTCTTTTGTCATTTTTATCAATTAATTAATGGTGGGGTATTTTCAAAATCAATTTTTTTCCCTAATATGAAATTTTTCTGATCATGTGGTTTTAATTGATATTGAGTGATGTTTCAGAATTTTAATTACGTGTAAGTTTTTATTAACAAAAATTGTTTTATTTGGCTACTAATAATGTCACAAATCATTATCCTATGTTGTTATAAATGATGTGCATAAGTATAACTAGGCACATTATTAAGAAAGGAATTTAATTTGACGTAATGATATATTTATAAGTAATGGGTTTAATTAGACATAATTATTCATTTATAAGAAAGGTTTTTGATTTGACATATAATGTTTGTACAATATTACTTAAATATGTTTAAGTGATAATTAAAATTTATAAGCAAATAGACATAGTTTTGTATTATTGATTTGACATGAACGGTAGGTTCAAGAGTCAGAGTTAGAATCTATCGAGCAACCGTAAATTTGGTAATTTTTGTTTACATATATCATATTATAATTAAGAAAATTATTTTTAAACCGTATATGTATATATATGATTAATTCTTCAAAATCATATCACATTTTGAAGATGATGAAATAAGATGAAATGAGATGTGATTTTATAAAAATATATTTATCTTGAATATGTTATTTATTTCTTTATATTTCGATCAGCAAAAAGATAAACAAAAAACAATTTTTTTATTATTTCCTCAAACAATTTCTGTGATTTAGCAAAATAACGAAGTATTATTTTTTCAATATATATTAGTAGTATAGTTTTAGCACCGACAAATATGCCAAAATAAAAAATGAATTATGTGGCATTTAAAGTTTGTGACCCTGGGACAGATCATACAAGGAGAATATTTATGACAAAATAAATCAAACTTATTTTTATATATATTAAAATAATTTTTTATAATTATATTTATCGATAAATAAGATTCGAAAAAAATAGTTAATATGAGTTTTATTCTTATTTTATAGAGTTGGAAATATTATTTTTATAAATTCAAATTCCCGTAAGGATCGTTAAGCAATTTAAGAAAATGTAAAAAATAAATTTTGATTAAAAAACTGCTCATGCGTGTACTTATTTCATATGATGTGGACTTTAAACTAATAACAACAAAAATAAAGTAGAACAATAAACAAGTGTAATAATTAAATAATGAAAAAACAAGTACGTTAGATAAGACGTGTTTAATCCAATATGAATTATGATAAATAATGAAAAAACAAGTACGTTAGATAAGACGTGTTTAATCCAATATGAATTATGATACGCTGATAAAATTATTTTACTTTTAATCAAATATGTTAAATTCGAGCTTTGAATATAAAAAAAATCTTATTAAAATCGTCGTCTACAAATAGAACCTACGGTACGTGATCAGATTTAATCAAGATCCTTAAAAAATTATGTATCGTATAATGCCAAATTAAGTAAAGCCAGAGCCACAACCAACATATACATACACGTGTAAGCATTTTGTGATTTATTTATATTTTAATTAATTAATGCTAATCTTCATATATTAGTTTTTAATTTTTAGTGATTTGGAATTCTATCTCCGGTATTATCTCTGATGGCAGCCGGCGGCACCGGCAGTGGCATTATTGCTATTAATCTCAAAACAAGTGGCATTTTAACTCAAACCGTAAACACAACATTCTCACAGTTCCAACACGAAATTTATGTGAAATTAAAATTTTAAAAAACATTCCTCAATTTGATTAATATTTCACAATTAGTCCAAAAATTCTTTTTAATTAATTTTTTTCTCGTAAAAGCTTTTCCTTCTTTACCCTCATATGCATAAAATTATCATTATTATTAATTTTTATAATATACATTTGAAATACAAACCATATCATATAAATAGAAAAAAAATAATTTAATAACAAACTTTTTACTTAACGTTTTAAATATGATAATGTATTACTAATATAGTAATATTATTAATATTATTATTTTGCTTTTTATATATATGATATTTACTTCAAAATTGGACTAATTAGAATTCTTGGCTAATCAAATCTCATTAAAGGAAAAGAAAAACAATCAACCACTTTCTAAGCTAAATCAAAATTTTAAAAAGATTCTGACTTTTTTATTTTGATAAATACAATCTCTTCAAAAATAACTCAAATTTAGAAGAAAAAAAAACAAACAAAAAACTTTTAACTCCTATAATTATAAGTCCTAAATTCAAAACTCGATCGTTTACTTAAGTATAATTTTCTTATCAAACGACTTGAAAAAGAGATAATAACATCATATTTCTCAATCACAATCTCATATTTTTTTTGTTATAAATGAGATAAGTATTAATAAAGTTAAAGATAATAATATAATAATTTTTTCAAACTCTTAAAATTTAATCATTTTTTTTCCGTTACTCACTTATATTATAACTCTCCTCTATTTGTTTCACATTATAACACACATTAAAAAGAGCCCAAAAAAAATAAATCTCTCACACTTTTCCTTTATTGAATTTATTTTGAAAAAAAAGAAAAGAAAAAAGATTGTTTCTTGAATAGAGTTTCAAAGCAGAACAACAATGGCAGAAACAGCAAAATATGAAGCTATAAATGGTGGAACTCTGTTTACAGACATGAAAACTCAGTTTTCTCTTCTCAAAACTAAAAGAACTGTTGGTTTTGCATATGGGTTTTTGTTTATTTTCATTGTTGTTACTACTTTCTTAGCTTTTACTCCTTCACAAAACTCTTCATCACCATGGTTTTCTAACATTTTTTCTCTAACCAAACAAGAAGATGTTGTTACTACTACTTCTTATAGATCTCAGTTTTCTTCTGTTTTCTCTAATCTTTTTCCAAAACCAAGTTTTGAGCAACCCCATTTGGATAAAAAGGGACTAATTGTTGAAAAAAGTGAAAATTATACTCAAAATGATGATAAAGGTGGAGTCTTGGAAAACCCCTTTAATTCTTCTTCTGTTTTGAGTGATAAAGTTGGAATCTTGATGGGAAATGAGAGTGTAAATCAGAGTTTTGATGATAAAGATGGGATCTTTAAGGCAAATCAGAGCTCAACTGAGGGTTCTAAGTCTGTTGCAGCTGTGAATCAGACTAAAAGTAGAGATTTTGATGATAAAGTTGGAATCTTGAAGGGAAATGAGAGTAAAAAAACAGCACCAAAGTTGTCTTCCAAGGGAAAAAGTGCAAATGTGGA